CTTTCTGTCCCACCTGGCTTCTGATGAGCCACACCTGTTCTCAGGTAAATACCAGGGCCAGGTGTGGCTCATCAGAAGCCAAGTGGGACAGAAAACCTACTGGATAGTAGCTCTCCAGGACCGGAGTTGGAGACCCCTGATTTAGACTGTAATTATACAGTGCATTCTTTATCGTATCATGGAATAAGTCTATTCCATGGGGGAAAAAACAATCTTATAAATGCCTCAACAGTACCACCTTGGTATTAGTTGTATCAGAGAATTTTGGTCAAGTACTAGTAACAGCATGAGAATCTGGTATCAGCCCGATACCCTTCGGCAGCATCAGTGGATCACTATTTATTCCTATAAATAAAAACTGATAAGTACTAATAATTTGTAGTTTTATACTTAACTGATCTCTAAAATGACCTGAATTATAATTAAATGAGTAAAATGTAAATGTAGATGTCCAGTGTAGATTCAGTGTAACAGTCACAAAGGAAAATTAACTACTATAAACTTACTTCTGAGAACCTCTCAGTGCACGTTTGCCTCCTCTGTCTCTGGCCCCACCAAGCCACTTTGACACCGCCCTCTCTGCATCCCTTCGACTTATGTCTTTTGTTGGAACATTCCTTTTTAAACCTCCTATCAGAGATATGGGAGGGGGGAATATGAACACAAACACAATAAGTACACAATCACAAGACTTCCAATTATTAGACAAATAACACACACACTTATGTTGAATGTGAGAAGGTAAGTTTCTAAGGGAGTGAGAAAGAACATTTTACACATCACTATCCTTAAAATGTCAAAATTTACATAAACATACCATAGAAAACGTCAAAAAGCCGGAGTGTCCCAAATTGTAATTTCCCGTGTCTCCCTACAAAGTTAAATTTCAGGGCCAGGTCATTGGTTAAGATGAAAGACATAACTCTTCTAGTGGCCTCTTCAACAGACCTCCCACCGATATCTCCCAGGAAAGAGACCTAAAGTAAAACAGCAAATGTTATGGAAAATTGCCATAGTCTGCCACTGTAAACAAGTCATGTTTGGTATCATTTGGTAACTTGAAACTGCAATTAGTAGGACTGTACAATTACATTACAATATATCAGATCTAATAACTTTTATATCCAGGAGAGAGCACACAAACATTTCACAAGCCATTTTAGAGGGTCAATATCCACAAAAGCAATACCTACCACATCTTTACTGAAGTCTGGATCCAACAACTTTTGTTCCATTGCCTCTACATCAGAAGGTGTCTTTAAAGGAAACTCAGCTCAACTTAACAAGACAACTAATTTTCACAAATGTATATTTTAACCCCACCACATACCACCACCTAGTTTTCATATGTGAGCTCAAACTTTAGGCGGGAAAATAACAGACCTATCAATCTAGGGCAAA